CTTATTAAATTTAAAGAACAAAAACCCAAACTATGCTATTCAATTTATTTATTTATTTATAAACCTGATTTAGTAATGTTTTTTTTTTTTTTTTTTTTTTTTGAAACCTAGTAATGTATTTAGTAATTGCATATTTCTAATGAAGAACAGAAGAGGTAAGGCTGGACAAATATTTATTTTATTATTTTTTTTTAAAAAAAAAAAAATTGCTATCCAGGAATGCCCTTTTAATTGGCTGGATGGGACGATCTTAGTGAGTTGTTCATTCCATGAATAGCTCTAGAAGACAAACACGTATCAAGACCATAACTACTAGGATAAGTACGTGATGAATTTATACCATACATGTTCGTATTAATGAAGGATTGAGATAATATGACACATGTTTAAAAGAGCTTAATACTATGATAAAACGAAAAGAAGTGTGCGTTTATCATCATGGTAGTTATATCGGCAACAAACTACTTGAGAATTACTCCATAGCACATAGCAATCAATTGTACAAGATAACTTGCAATGGCAAGAAACAACAATAGCAATGGAAAGATGCGAGTATCATAATCACGTTGGCAAAGTGAGTCATAGGATACCATCGACTGTCAAAATCAAAGTTTCACCTAGTCACTTAGGGACAAAACTCTTTTCCACTCAACATAGTGGAGCATTTATTCAAGTAAAAAACCTAAAATAAGGGTACAATAATACAAAAGAATATGATAAATTTATTATGACACGTATGAAAGTATTTTGACTTGAAGTTATAATGAATTTATTTTCAAATTGTAAAATAATTCGGGGCTTATTCAATTGATGTAAATTTGCTTCAATTTATATATATAAAATTATGTAAATTTGCTTCAATTTATTAAAATGTATTCTATATCTAGACTGAATTTATAAAATTGCTTTCTTTGATTTCATAAGAGCTCATTTTGTATTGTATCTAACATAACTCCTTCCGTGATTTATGATCTTAATTAGTCTCAAGATTATAGGTCGCCTTAATATTATTTAATACAAAGTGTTCACTTTTATTTTTATAATAATTATACGTCTGTATCCTGAAAAAAAAAAAAAAACAACTAACTATACGTCTGTACTCCATAGTTACTTAAAGAATACAAAATATCTCAAAAAAAAAAGGCAATGTATTACAAAAAATTTCAAATCATTTTCACAAATGACAAGTCAAATATCATGGTAAATTGGTAATAATATTGCCCAACCAACTAAATTTTCATAGCAACATTAAATATTGTCTTAAAAATACACGAAATATGTAGAGATGTATCGTGATATTTATGAAATAATAGTGGAATTATAATTCAAATATTTAATGCCATAAAAAGGCCCAAATAAATATATGACCTACCCCATTATTTAAGCATTGATGTATTATTATTATTATTTGTTTTTTTTCCTTGATGTTACACTATAATAGAGATTGATCAACTAAGATAATGTTATCCTAAACCGGCCAAACAGAAATTCTAAAAACTTTTATGCAAGTATAATTTATGTGATTTTCTTACTAAATTTTGGAGTTTAATTATTTTTTTCAAAGATAAAAGTATTCAAAGGGGCATATTAAAACTGCCAAAAAAAAAAGGTGATGCATTTTATGACCTCTGAAGCTAGGAAAAGGTGATGGAACATCTTTGGCTTAGAAAAATTATTCCATGTTATAGAGAAAAAAAGGGTTTCACTTTTAAAACCTTACTCTTCATTCAAATTTACCTATTTTACATCTTTCCATCATTTTCATGCATCTATTCCCTTATTGCTTACCTTTTTTGGACCATATATGCATCAAATTTCAAATTTAGACACCTAATTGATTGAGATAGTGATAGGTGTAATAAACACGAACTTAATGTGATGAAACTAATCTTACCGTCTCTATAAACTTGTTTCATATTCATTTAATCATTTGTTTGTATTTTACGTTAGTAAAAAAAATTAATGAAAGGATGGATAGGTGAGTGTGAATTTCAATTGTAAGGAAATTTATACATATAATTAAAGAGCGTACTAGAAATATTGGGTTGATATAAAGGAGTGGAGAGATGGAGTAAAATGATAAAATTAAGCTTTTATTACATAAAGTACTTCGTAATCCAAGATAATCTTGTCTCATTCTTGTCACACAATCACGTTTAGCATACTCCTACCTCCTTAAAATTAAGGCAAAATTGGCCTCAACACTCGCTTAGATGCACTCAGCACCCTGAACTAAGAAAAATAGCCAAAACACCCTGAAGTATTAGCATGGGTGCACTTAGCACCATACTAGAAAATTTCTGGCCAAAAGTGGCCGGATTCCGGCGACTTTTTTTTTTATTTTCTTATTATTATTATCATTATTATTATTATTATTATTATTATTATTATTATTATTATTATTATTATTATTATTATTATTATTATTATTATTATTATTATTATTATTATTATTATTATTATTATTATTATTATTATTATTATTATTATTATTATTATTATTATTATTATTATTATTATTATTATTATTATTATTATTATTATTATTATTATTATTATTATTATTATTATTATTATTATTATTATTATTATTATTATTACGAAAATACCTCGTTTTGCGTGTTGTTATTTATTGACGAAAATTGTTCACGTAAGGTTTTGGGGGTCATTTTTACCCTTAATGGATCCAAATTTAGCTCAGGTTTTGCAAAAAAAAAAAAAACGGAAATACCTCGTTTTGCGTGTCGAGATATATCTAAGTAGCTAAGACACGCAAATCGAGATATTCTTGACACGTAAAACGAGGTATTTTCTTTATTTTTTTGCGAATTCCGAGCTCAATTTGGATCCATTAAGGGTAAAAATGACCTTGAAACCTTACCAAAACAATTTTCGTCACAAGAAATAACAATACGCAAATCGAGATATTCCTCGAAACGCAAAACGAGATATTTCCATTACTTTTTTGCGAATTCCGAGCTTAATTTGGTTCCATTAAGGATAAAATGACCCTCGAAACCTTACCCGAACAATTTCCGTCACAAAAAATAACAATACACAAATCGAGATATTCCTCGACACGCAAATCGAGGTATTTCCATTATTTTTTGCGAATTCGGAGCTTAATTTGCCCTCATTAAGGAAAAAAATGACCCCCGAAACCTTACCCGAACAATTTCCGTAAAAAAATAAATAACAACACGCAAATCGAGGTATTTTTGTAATAATAATAATAATAATAATAACAATAATAATGATAATGATAATAATAATAAGAAAATAAAAAAAAAGTCGCCGGAATCCGGCCACTTTTGGCCGGAAATTTTCTTGTATGGTGCTAAGTGCACCCATGCTAATACTTCAGGGTGTTTTGGCTATTTTTCTTAGTTTAGGGTGTTGAGTGCACCCAAGTCAAAGTTCAGTTGAGGCCAATTTTGCCTAAAATTAATAGTCACACAAAAATGTAGATGAACAGGTTATGTCCTTAATGTCAATGAAATTGGTTTGCTATTATAAATTCTCTTTTTGTACAACCATATTATAATATCCCTTAACGATAATTGATAAGGAGTTTGACGATATTATAATTAATCTAAATTTAGATGGATTATATTAATATTACTTGACCATTTGATTATCAACATTAACCAAAAGGAGAGAATACAAGACATGACAAGGATTGTAAAAAAGGAAGTCTAATGTGCTTTCTAAGAAATATATTAATGTCTAATGTAAAGTAGGAGAACACTCTGATGAGTATTCAAATGAGTGAGCATTGAGCAATCTTTCTTAGACACTTGGACGCTAGCAATTGGATGATTGTAAAGAGAAGATATTTGCACTCCCAACAAATCTTCGTATATAAAATTTGATGGTCAATTGATGATTCCAAATTAAAGGTAATGAAATATCATTGAAATATCCTAATACCATGTCACCTAGTACAATCTACTATTCACCTCCCTCGCCCCTCCTTCCAATTAAAAGCACAAATTGCTCTTGCTAGAGGATCGATCCTAAGACCTCCAGTAAAAAAGGTAGATTTACTTTGTATTTACTACATAATGTTATAAGTCTTATAACTAACTATGGATACATTGAAATATTGGGCACATACATCTATCTTATTTATAAATTAAGATTATTATATGTGCAAATCATCTTTAAAGTCATATCAAATACAAGATGTCTGGAATAGTTTGTAGATAATCAAACCAAACTATTTAATCTGAATTATATTAAATCATGTTGAGTTTCGAGCTATGTTAAGTATCTATGAGCCATTATCTTTACAAAATTGGTTAGAGAGGATTGAGCTTACTTGAAAGACAAGACCTGACAAGTCTTGAATTATATCACCGACCCTTTAAATCAAATAAGTTTAATTTCTTAACAAATAAAATTGGTCCCTCAATCTCGTACATATGTATGATGGCTCAAGAAAGACGATCAACTACCTAAAATTGAACCGAGAATAATTAAACCAAATTTTCATCACACAATGACTTATTCAACTCGTTTTCTACGTTGATATCAGGAATAATTTGGTAAATACATCATTATGAATTACTCTGCATGAAATTTGCTACTCCGTATTAAGTTATAGGGTTTACATAAAATATTCTGACTTCCTAATTGTCTAACTTAACTGCAAATATACATCAATTGACTCCACTTTCATGTTAATTTATTCATATTTACATTTACCACCTGTACATGTAAAAGTTACGACTTACGAGTATTATGAAACGGAGCGAGTACTCACTATCTCTCACTCCCCTCCAACATAGTGGAGCCCAATCATCCCTACACCACTCTTAGTACTCCACATGTTAAAAGCCACCTAGATGAATGGTCAACATCACTTCTCCCACATTAACCAATCCAATCCAATCTAATGAACTTATCACCAAACAACGTCTTAGAATCTTCCACGTATCTTCTTCAAACAATCTTCTTCTTTTTTATTTTTTTTTTTCTTCTATAAAACTTTTTCATTTTATTAATTTCTTCTTCTTCATTTTCTTCAACAGCTAACAAATACTCCATTAACCAAAAAAACCGTCCTTTCTCTTCGCGAACTTTCTCATCTTTCCTCCTCTTTTTTCTCTCTCTCCTAAATTACGTCCTTTTCTTTCGCTTTTTCTCTTGATTTTTTTTGCTGATTTCACCTGAATTTGATTCTTACACTCTGAAATTACTCCGATTATCGACAATTTCAGCCAAAATTGTCGGTTTCGATTTGTTTTTGGATCAATAAGGAAGAATTAGGGTTTTTCAAAAACATTTTGCGCGAAATTGTGAATTTGTTTGAAGAGAGAGAAGTTGAATGTTTGGATTCAGAGTAGCAGTTGATTCACAACATCACAAGGATTTGAAAAGTCGAGCTTCTTCTCTAATTGATTTTTCGATCAAGTTTTCCTTCTGTTAAGGTAATTAATCGAACAAATTCTTCGCTAATATGTTAATTTTCTAGATAGAAATCGAAATTTTGAATCAATAATAGCTATTATTTCTAGAATTTGATCAAATCAAATTCTAACTCATCTTCTGTAAGATTACATACTTTTAGCTAGAAATTGCATAGTATTACCTATTAATTCCACTGATTTTGTAGAATTTGGTAGAAAAATCACGATCAAAATTATTTTTTCGCAGAATTTGCGCGAAATTGTTGAGAAGAAGAATTCAAACTGAGACGAGTTGACCGAGTTGACTCATGGGTGACTCGGACAATGACTCGGGAGGAAAGTCGAACAACTTCAGCCGCGGAGACTCGTACCCGAAAGAGCAGGACCGGTTCCTGCCGATCGCAAACGTGAGCCGGATCATGAAAAAGGCGCTACCGGCTAACGCCAAAATCTCGAAAGATGCAAAAGAAACGGTTCAAGAATGCGTTTCGGAGTTCATCAGCTTCATCACAGGAGAAGCGTCGGATAAGTGTCAACGTGAGAAAAGGAAGACGATCAACGGTGACGATCTTCTTTGGGCGATGACCACGCTTGGGTTCGAGGAGTACGTTGAACCGCTGAAGATTTATCTACAGCGGTTCAGGGAGTTGGAAGGGGAGCGAACCGGGCTTGGACCCCCGGTTCAGGGAAATAATAGTAATAGTAATAATAATAGTAACGGAGGCGTTGGGGTAAATAGTGGAAATGGTGGGGGTGTTTTTGGAATTTCACAAGGTGGACACGTGTATGGATATGGTAATGGTGGTGGTGGTGGCGGCGGGGGTGGTGGAAGTGGTAGTGGGGGTAATAGAGGGATTTTGACTTATGGTGGGCCTGGTGGCGCTAATGGTGGGCCGAGGTGATATTGTTGTTATGTTTTGTTGGGCCCCCACTAGGTCTTGTAAGTAGAGTGAGTGGGGTGTGTGTATTTTGTTTTTATTTTTGGTATCTTTTTAGGTTTTCAAGTATTAATGTGAAATTAATTGGAGTTTGGTAGCTCTAGAGATTTAGAGTGTATTTAAGAATTTGGTTTATTTTGGTCATGTTATTTGATAGCTTTGGTCATAGTGTACATAAAGCATTACGAATTTACAATTATGGATTATGATATGTGTCCTTTTGGAAATTGAAGAGAGTTGTGAAAAATGTGCAAGAATTGATGTTATGATTCTTTAGCATGGATGAGATGATTCTTAAACATTGATTCCATTGAATTTGCTGGTAGCACTAGTTTATGATAGTTTTTCTTCACTTGTTACCTATATTAAACTTGACTTGTATGTGGTTATTGGTGATCAATAAATATAAAAACACATACCTCATCTTTCAAGTCTTGTGAATGGTAAAATACCAATTTAGAGGTATCTGATAGAAGAAAGTTGCTTTTAATTTTGGAAATTTTTTAACTTTTTTCGCCCGGAAATAAATATTGCCGAGAGGTTTATTATGGTTCCTAATACCATCTGGGAGTACAAATAGGTGGGTGGAACCATCCAATTTGCCTTAAAACAGTCAATTTACCCGTTCACAACTTGCACCGATTTCGTGAACTCAAGCCTACTACGGACACTTATGACAACATATAATGGTCATATATGGTTCCAAATGGCATTATATGGCTCTGATATGTATTCCATAGGGCATCAAGATTTTTCGCCACCGATCCCCATGAACTTCGAAATTTCTCAAAAAGCGTAAATAATAGCCATCAACTTTTGAAATTTTTAACCTTTTTTTCGCTCGGAAATAAAAATTTTCAAGATGTTTACCATGGTCCCTAATACCCTCCAGGAGTCCAATTAGGTGGGTGCAACATCCAATTTGCTTTACAAACTGTCAATTTACCCGTTAGCAACTTACACCGATTTTGTGAATCCAAGTCTACCACGGACATTTATGACAGCATATAATGGTCATATATGGTTCCAAACAACATTATATGATCTTGAGATGTATCCCCTAAGGACTCAAGACTTTTCACCACCGGGCTCGTAACCTCCGAAATTCCTCAAAAAGCGTGGATAATAGCGTTTAAAATTTGGAATTTTTTTACCTTTTTTCGCCCAAAAATAAAAATTGCCGCGATATTAAGCATGGTCCAAAATACTCTTCGGGAGTACAATTAGGTGGGTAGAATCATCCAATTTTCCTTAAAACGATCAATTTAAAAGTTCACAACTTGCACCGATTTCGTGAACTCAAGCCTACCACGGACATTTATGACACCATATAATGGTCATATATGGTTCCAAACGGCATTATATGATATAGAGATGTATCCCCAATAGCCTCAAGACTTTTCTCCACCGAGCCCCATAACCTCTGAAATTCCTCAAACAGCGTGGATAATAACCTTCAATTTTGAAAATTTTGACCTTTTTTCTCTCGAAAATAAAAATTGCCGAGAAGTTTACCACGATCCCTAATACCTCCGTGTCTCTGTGAGAACAATTAGGTGGGTGGAACCATCCAATTTGCCTTAAACGATCAATTTACCCGTTTACAACTTGTACCGATTTCGTGAACTCACGCCTACCACGGACATTTATGACAATATATAATGGTCATATATGGTTCCAAACGATATTATATGACCCTGAAATGTATCCCCTAGGGCCTTAAAACTTTTCGCCACCGGGCCCCGTAAACTCTGAAATTCCTCAAAAAGCGTGGATAGTAGCCTTCATTTTTGGAATTTTTTGTCCTTTTTTTGAACAGAAATAAAATTTGTCGAGATGTTTACTATGATCCCTAATACCCTCCGGGAGTCCAATTAGATGAGTGAAACCATCCAATTTGCTATAAAACGATCAATTTACCCGTTTACAACTTGTTTTGATTTCGTAAACACAAACCTATCACGGACATTTATGACATATAATGGTCATACATGGTTCCAAATGGAATTATATGACCATGAGATGTATCCCCTAGAGCCTCAAGACTTTTTGCCACCAGACTTGTAACCTTCGAAATTCCTCTAAAAGCATAGATAATAGCCTTCAATTTTGGATTTTTTGGACCTTTTTTCGCCTGGAAATAAAAATGCCGAGATGTTTAGCATGGTCTCAAATACTTCGGGAGTTTAATGTAGTGGGTGGAACCATCCAATTTGCCTTAAAACGGTCAATTTATATGTTCAGAACTTGCACCGATTTCGTAAACTCAAGCCTACCACGGACTTTTTTACAACATATAATGGTCATTTATGGTTACCAACGACATTATATAATCCTAAGATGTATCCCCTAGGGCCTCAAATCTTTTCGCCACCGGGACCCGTAACTTACGAAATTACTCAAAAAGTATGGATATAGCCTTCAATTTCGGAATTTTTTTTATCTTTTTTTGCTCGTAAATAAAAATTACCGATAAGTTTACCATGGTCCCTAATACCCTCTTTGAGTACAATTAGGTGGGTGCTACCATCCAATTTGCATTAAAATGGTCAATTTACCCGTTCACAACTTGCACAGATTTCGTGAATTCTAACCTACCATGGACATTTACGACAACATTTAATGGTTATATATGGTTCTAAACGATATTATATGACCCTGAGATGTATCTCTTAGGGCATCAAGACTTTTCGCCCCCGGGCTTCATAACCTCCGAAATTCCTCAAAAAGCTTAAATAATAGCCTTTAATATTGGAATTTTTAGAATTGTTTTCGCCCGGAATAAAAAAATTCCGAGATGTTTACCATGATCCCTAATACTCCCGGGAGCCCAATTAGGTGAGTAAAACTATCCAATTTGCCTTAAAACGGTCAATTTACCCATTCACAACTTGCACCGGTTTCGTAAACTCAAGCCTACCACATACATTTATGACAACATATAACGGTCATATATGGTTCCAAACGGCATTACATGATCCTGAGATGTATCCCCTAGGGCCTCAAAACTTTTCGCCACCGAGCCCCGTGACCTCTGAAATTTCTCGAAAAGCGTGGATAATAGCCTTTAATTTTGGAATTTTTTAACCTTTTTTTGCCCAGAGATAAAAATTGATGAGATGTTTACCATTATCCATAATACCCTCCAGAAGTCCAATTAGGTGAGTGGAATCATCCAATTTGCCTTAAAACGGTTTATTTACCCGTTCACAACTTGCATCGATTTCGTGAATTTAAGCCTACCACGGACATTTATGACAGCATATAATGGTCATATATGGTTCCAAACGACATTATATGATCCTGAGAAGTATCCCCTATGGCCTCAAGACTTTTAACCATCGGGCCTCGTAACCTCCGAAATTCCTAAAAAAGCGTGGATAATATATAGCCTTTAACTTTGGAATTTTTTGACCTTTTTTCGCTCGAAAATAAAAATTGCCGAGAAATTTACCATGGTCTCTAATACCCTCTGGAAGTACAATTAGGTAGGTGGCACCATACAATTTGCCTTTAAATGGTCAATTTACCCGTTTACAACTTGCATCGATTTCGTGAACTCAAGCCTACCACGAACATTTATGACAACATATATTGGTCATATATGGTTCCAAACGGAGTTATATGACCTTGAGATTTATTCCCTAGGGCCTTAAGACTTTTCGCCACCGGGCCCCGTAACCTCCGAAATTTCTCAAAAAGCGTGGATAATAGCCTTCAAGTTTTGAATTTTTTGACCTTTTTTCGACCGAAAATATAATTTGCCGAGATATTTTCCATGGTCCCTAATAGCCTCCGGTAATCCAATTAGGTGGTTGGAACAATCCAATTTGCTTTAAAACAGTCAATTTACCCGTTTACAACTTGCACCGATTACGTGAAATCAAACCTACCACGGACATTTATGACAACATATAATGGTCATATATGGTTCTAAACGGAATTATATGACCCTGAGATGTATCCCCTAGGGCCTCAAGACTTTTCTCCATCGGGCCCTATAACCTACGAAATTTCTTGAAAAGCGTGGATAATAGCCTTTAATTTTGAAATTATTTAACATTTTTTCGCCCGAAAATAAAAAGTGACGAGATGTTTACCATGATCCCTAATACCCTTTGGGCGTCCAATTAGATGGGTGGAACCCTCCAATTTGCCTTAAAACGGTCAATTTACTCGTTCATAACTTGCACCGATTTCGTGAACTCAAACCTACCATGGACATTTACGACAACATTTAATGGTCATATACGGTTCCAAACAGAATTATATGACCCTAAATATTTATCCTCAAGGGCCTCAAAACTTTTCGCCACTGGGCCCCGTAACATACGAAATTTCTCAAAAAGCGTGAATAATACCCTTTAGTATTATAAATTTAAGCCCTTTTTTCGCCCGGAAAGAAAATTGCCGAGATGTTTACCATGGTCCCTAATACCTTCCAGGGGTCCAATTAGATGGGTGAAACCATCCTAATTTCCTTAAAACGATCAATTAACCCGTTCACAACTTGCACCGATTTCGTGAATTCAAGCTTACCACAATCATTTATGACAACATATAATGGTCATACATGGTTCCAAACGGCATTATATGATTCTTATATGTATCTCTGATAGGCCATCGTCGAGCCTACCAAAGATAAAAACCTAACTTGGTCTCTCTAATGGGTAGAAAGGGCAAGTAAGGGTCGATCCCACAAGGACTAAGGGGAGCACTAACAAGTATCAATTTGTGATAAGCTAAGTCAAGTCTTTTTGGGTTTTGAGTTATAAAGAAAAACTACAAACAATAATAAAAAGGATCTTGGGAAGGTATCCACCAATTAAGTCATTCACAAACTACAATTTAACATACAAAACATAGAAATTTGGGGATAAATTAGGGGAAGTCATCTAAGGCACCCAACTACTCTCTCAAGCTAGAGGGATTACTTGAGTTATGAATACAACCTACTCTCGTGGTTACAAAGCATAAAACAAGTGTTAAAGCATAATCACGATGACATAAACATTCCCTTGACTGGAAATTCCTATTCTCATGGCATTTAAAGTCAATTAAGCATAAGGGAGCTAACTCTCAAGTTCATCTCTCGATCCTTCGTTGAGAAAGCTTATATAAATAGTTCTAGCAATGGCTATTTACAAGAACTAACAATGAAACCACTTAAGCTCAACTAATTAACATCCCACATTAGCTAAATCAACACATGCAAACAAGTATTTGTGAATTCATCAATGGTTTCAACCATCCCAAGTAAAATAACTACTCACAAATCATAATAAATTGCAAAGCTAAATAAATAACTAACAACTAAGAACATGAAATCAAACACTAATTTAACATAAATAAGTAATAAAACAAGAAAAGATACAAAAATAAGCAATTAAAGCAATAAAATAAGAGAGAGTAAGAAATTCTCATTGATAATGCAAGAAATAATCAAATCTTCAAGTCTCCTTCCTTCAATTCTTCATATTCCAAGCTTTCAACAAGTTTTTCCCACTTTCTCTCTCTAGAAATTGAGAGTTTCTCTCTCTAAAAACCTAACCTAAGATAAAACTACACTAAGAAGATCCTCCCTTACAAATGAAGCCAAAGAGGTATTATATAACCCCCAAGTAAAAGGACGGAGAACATGAGGAAACGACCCGTCTACAGGTCGGCACGGACGTGCCAAAGGTTGCACGGACGTGCAGACCTGTTAAAATACGACCAGTAGCTACTGCCTTACCTTGCACGGACGTGCTTCATTTGGCACGGACGTGCAAGGACTTGCACGGACGTGCAACTTATTGGCACGGACGTGCAGCTCTTTTCTGGCGAAACAACTTATTTTTGAAAGGTCATAAATTCTTCATCTTATCGGAATAAGGCATGTGACCAGTCTTTAGAAAGTTCTTGAGATGAACTTTAATCTCCAATTTGAATCACTTCAAAATGTTAAGTGGAACAAAAGTTTTATGGTCAGTTGAAGTTAACCTTAGTGCAAAAATCCTTCCAAAACTTTCCAAAAGCTTTTCATTTCTCTTTAAGGCACTCATCCTTCTTCCTTAATTGCTCTATCAACCAAGCTTTCCCTTCTCCTTGTTCACTCATGCTTGATCACGTCCATATATAGTGCTAAAAATAGCTACATTACATCAAAAACACAAACAACCCGTGAAGCATGGATGGTACAAAATTTGTATAAAAATAGGATAAATAATGAAATTTGATGTCGAATAATCACGAAAACAAGGTCAAAAGTACCCTAAAATCATACCAAATAACAAGTTATCAATCTCCTAGAGACTCAAGACTGTTCGCCACCGGGCCCAGTAACTTCCGAAATTTCGCAAAAAGCGTGGATAATGGTTTTTAATTTTTGATTTTTTGACCTTTTTGGCCCGGAAATAAAAATTGATAAGAAGTTTACCATGGTCCTTTATACCCTTCGGGAGTACAATTAGGTGGTTTGTACCATCCAATTTGCCTTAAAACGCTCAATTTACCCGTTCACAACTTGCATCGATTTCATGAACTCAAGCCTATCACGAACAACTAGTCAAATTTTTAGAAGTTTAAAACACGGTACAATGTTTCCTACCTCTATAGACTTATGCCCAACTAGTCAAATTTCTAAGAGTTTAAAATATGATACCGTGTTTCCTACGTCTATTGACTTATGACACAACTAGTCAAATTACTAGAAGTTTAAAACACGATACCGTGTTTCGTTCCTCTATTGACTTATGACACAATTAGTGAAAATCCTAAAAGTTATACACACAGTATGGCTTTTCTTCCCTCTATTTACTTATGTGTGGTGAAGTCAAATCCATAGTAGTTGAAACACAATACCGTGTTTCGTCCCTCTATTTACTTTTGCCACAACTACTAAAGCACGGTACCGTGTTTCTTTTCTCTATTGTATGATGCCACAAATGGTCAAATTCTTAAAAGTTTAAAACACGATACCGTGCTTCATCCCTCTATAGACTTATGCCACAACAAGGCAAATTCCTAGAAGTTTAAAACACGATACCGTGTTTCATCCCTCTATTGACTTATGCATGTTGCAGTCATATCCATAGCAGTTTAATACACGATATCTTGTTTCGTCCCTCTATAAACTTATGCCACAACTAGTCAAATTCCTAGAAGTTTAAAACGCGGTATCGTATTTCCTAACTTTATTGACTTACACCGCAACTAGCTTAGTCAAATTCCTAGAAGTTTAAAACACAGTACAGTGTTTCGTCCCTCTATTGACTTATGCGTGTTGAAGTCAAATCCATAGCATTTGTAAACAAGGTACCGTATTTCGTCCCTCTATTGACTTATGCCAAACTGCTCAAATTCCTAAAAAATTTAAAACCCGGTACCGTTTTTCTTTCCTCTATTGACTGATGCAACAAATGGTCAAATTCCTAAAAGTTTAAGACATGGTACCGTGTTTCGTCCCTCTATTGACTTATGCCACAAGTAGTCAAATTCTTAGAAGTTTAAAACACGGTACCGTGTTTCGTCCCTCTATTGACTTATGCGTGTTGTAGTCAATCCATATCAGTTTAAAACACGGTACCGTGTTTCGCCCCTTTATAAACTTATGCCACAACTAGTCAAATACCTAGAAGTTTAAAACACAATACAGTGTTTCGTCCCTCTATAAACTAATGTGTGTTGAAGTCAAATCCATAGTAGTTATAAACACGGTACCGTGTTTCATCCCTTTACTGACTTTGGGCCTCAAGACTTTTCGCCATCGAGCCCCATAACCTCCGAAATTCCTCAAAAAGCGTTGATAATAGCCTTCAATTTTGGAATTTTTTTGACCTTTTTTCGCTCGGAATTAAAAATTGTCGAGATGTTTAGCATGGTCCCAAATACCCTCCGGGAGTCCAATTAGGTAGGTGGAACCATCCAATTTGCCTTAAAACGGTCAATTTACCAGTTCATAACTTGTACTAATTTCGTGAACTCAAGCCTATCACGTATATTTTTAACAACATATAATGGTTCTAAACGACATTATATGATCCTGAGATGTATCCCCTAGGGCCTAAAGACTTTTTGCCACTGGGCTCCGTAACCTCCGAAATTCCTCAAAAAGCGTGGATAATAACCTTAAATTTTGGAATTTTTTGCCCCCTTTTCGCTAGGAAATAAAAATTGTCGAGATGTTTACCATGATCCCAAATACCTTCTGGGAGTCCAATTATATGGGTAGAACCATCCAATTTGCCTTATAACGGTCAATTTATTCGTTCACAACTTGCACAAATTATGTGAAATCAAACCTACCACGGACATTTACGACAACATTTAATGGTCATATATGGTTACAAACGACATTATATGATCCTGAGATTTATTCCCTAGGGCCACAAGACTTTTCGCCACCGGGCCCCATAACCTCCAAAATTTCTCAAAAAGCGTGGATAATAGCCTTCAATTTTTGAATTTTTTGACCTTTTTTCGTCCGAAAATAAAAAATGCCGATAAGTTTACCATGGTCCCTAACACCCTCCGGAAGTACAATTAGGTGGGTGAAACCATCCAATTTTCCTTAAAATGGTCAATTTACCCGTTCACATCTTGCACTGATTTCGTGAACTCAAGCCTACCACGGAAATTTATGACAACATATAATGGTCATATATGGTTCCAAACGGCATTATATGATCCTGAGATGTATACCCTAGGGCCTCAAGACTTTTCGCCACGGGCCCCAAACCTCCGAAATTCCTCAAAAAACGTGGATAATAGCCTTCAATTTTGGAATTTTTGACTTTTTTTCTTCCTGAAATAAAAATTGCAAGAAGTTAACCATGGTCTCTAATACCCTCTGGGTGTACAATTAGGTGGGTGGAACCATCCAACTTGCTTTAAAACGGTCAATTTACCCGTTCATAACTTGCACTAATTTCGTGAATTCAAGCCTACCACGGACATTTATGACAACATATAATGGTTCCAAATGACATTATATGACCCTGAGATGTATCCCTTAGGGCCTCAAAACTTTTTTCCACCGGACCCTGTAACCTCCGAAATTCCTAAAAAACCGTGGATAATAATAATTGATGCTTATGAGGATAAATTATGTGTCTATAGTGAAAGTCCTTGTATAATCTCATGATAATATTACGTTTTCGTAAATCGTAATAATACATATTTTTTCTTTTAAATGATTAGTAAATCTTCTACTCCGTATAAACTTCTAGTTAACATAGCATCAAACTATCAATAAAAAGGCAACTATTTCGTATATGCAATAGTCCTTGTATAATGGTTTACTTGTTAGTCGTTAGCCCTTATTTAGATGACATGATACCGGTATGGTTTTGAAAGCAATAATGGTTTGAGGTGGCACCAGTAGAATTATGTCCAGATGACATGATACTGATATGGTTTTGAAGCAATACTGGCTTGAGGTGGCACCAGTAGAATTATGTCCAATATCCTACTAATCACTTTAATTTATTAGCCAACTCAATGTTAAAAATCATAACTTTGCGGTGTAAATTGTGTTTTTTTAAGGAATTTTTTTAAATTAACACCTAAAAATGTATCATTTTTAAAATAACCACCCATTTAATTTTTTATATATATTTTAATTTTCTACCCTTAAATTAAAAAACTACTCGAATTACAACCCATTTCAAAATTCCGGTGCAATCACATGGAAACAAATGAATTATGTAACAAAAGTTAGTAGTATGGGCTAATTGCAAACACTTGCATATAGGAAGCGACTGGAGGCCCATGACATTGTTGGAGATTACTTAGATATTGGCCCAGCACTCTTAAAATTAGCACGAGTAGTGGTAGATTAGATAAAACATGGATGCATTTGGACTGCTATGTTCATTCTTTTATACTGTAGTGTTTATAGACACACAACTACACAAGTGAATGAAAGGAATATGTCAAATAATATAGAGACACAGAATAAGAAATAAAAAAATTCCATTGTATAGACGTAGTAAAATCTAGCATATTGGTTAAACCATTAATTAAAACCAAGATTATTATTATAGAGTAAAGCAAATCAAAATAAGAAATGAAACATTATTCACTTTGCCAATTGTCATAGCCGTTACGAGCCAACAACTTTTTAGAAGTTGTTGACACGTTTTATTTTTGGGTAAAAATTATACTTTGTAATTACTAATTATCCAGTTTGCTTTATCATTCTCTCACTCTCTCTCCTCTCCTCTTCTTAAGATGTGTGCCTAAATTAAATGTATCAACTATTTACAAACGGAGGAAGTAGATAAGAAATGTTTGTACGTGCATGCGTATATAGTTACAATGAAGTAGGATAATAAGATTTTTTAAAAGTAGAATACAAGCACAACCTACAATACATACTACGTACTCGTAGCTTGTAAGTTGCATGCATGGATAGTATATCATATATACCATCCTAGAGTCCTACACCATGCCACGCTAATATTTAAGTTACATGCGTTACACATGGTACACATTCATGCATAACATTATTCATTTTACACAACCATGTCGAGAGACTTGGAGTTAGCTTTGAGACTCCAAAACATATCATTTATGGCAGAGAAATGACAGACCGGGGCATCACCAGGGCGGATCCCGAGGTATTGAAGGGCTGGGACATTAGGCTTCCAAGCATATGTGTCATAGTGGCATACGGCGGTGGTTTGGATGGCGTTACCAGTGGTTGGGCTAACCAAAGTTACGTCGTAATGACCAATGTCTTGTTGGTGGTGACAATAGTACACGACGTAAGGGTAGCTCATTCTATGGCATGCGGCTGCAGTATTGCCCGGTACAACCAACTTCTTTACTTTTGTTATCACGTAGTCTTGTATGCCTTTAGGCACCTCAATATCGTTCTTCATCATTCTTAATTCAACATCGTTCGACCCTAGCTCCCTTACAACAAAATCTACAACATCTTCCATGGATTGGGCACAAGTCCTGTCATAGTAATTGCTTATTAGTATCAATGATCCTCCACAAAATAATGAACCAATAAAATTGCAAATAGTAAGCATTAATTTTGGTAATTAACCCTTCATAAATTTAGATAATTGGAACTTGTTGTATTGATACTTTTACATAAGATAAATTTAATTTGATGTAAGGGTAATTATATTAAGCCCTGTTAAAGAGTAGTATAGTACCTGTTTTCCTTTTCCACCTTTGGTCTATGTAGACATACGTCAAGGGTTCCTTTAATTCCCGTGGCTTCTACAGATCCAGGTTTTATTGAAAATAAATTTAATATTTCTGTGAATTTATCCTCCGAAAAAGGGATGGATTTAGCAATGTGCTTAGGCAAGAAAGGAACACTTGGTGTCTTTTGAAAATCATGCTTTAACTTGTCTCCAAGGCGCAAGCTTTTCTCGATGAAAAAAACTGATCCAACACTTACTTCATGACCAACCTTTTCTCTTTTACCATTGTCTGCGTTGTATTTCCAACCCATGACAGTGTAAGGCTGTTTCGTACCAGCTTTTTTTGTGCTAGTGTCCATGGTGAATACCTTGTCTGCTTCTTTCACCTTCTCTTTATTGCCGCTGTTTGTGTTGTAATTCCATCCCCAGACAGTGTAAGGTTGGTCTATACCAGTTTTCTTTGTGTTGGTCTCAATAGACAATGACTTTTCTGCTTCTTTCACCTTCTCTTTATTGGCGCTGTCTGTGTTGTAATTCCATCCCCAGACAGTGTAAGGTTGGTCTATACCAGTTTTCTTTGTGTCGGTCTCAATAGATAATGGCTTATTTGCTTCTTTCACCTTCTCTTTATTGGCGCTGTCTGTGTTGTAATTCCATCCCCAGACAGTGTAAGGTTGGTCTATACCAGTTTTCTTTGTGTTAGTCTCAATAGACAATGGCTTTTCTGCTTCTTTCACCTTCTCTTTATTGGCGTTGTTTGTGTTGTAATTCCATCCCCAGACAGTGTAAGGTTGGTCTACACCAGTTTTCTTTGTGTTGGTCTCAATAGACAATGGCTTTTCTGCTTCTTTCACCTTCTCTTTATTGGCGCTGTTTGTGTTGTAATTCCATCCCCAGACAGTGTAAGGTTGGTCTATACCAGTTTTCTTTGTGTTGGTCTCAATAGACAATGGCTTGTATGCTTCTTTCACCTTCTCTTTATTGGCGCTGTCTGTGTTGTAATTCCATCCCCAAACAGTGTAAGGTTGGTCTATACCAACTCTCTCTTTTGCATCATCAACATTGTATTTCCATGCCATTACGGTGTAAGGTTGGGACATACCAACCCTCTCTTTTGCACCATCGGCATTGTATTTCCAACCCACGACAGTGAATGGTTGGTTTGTATTAGCTTTCTTTGCCTTATCTGCATCGTTGCTATATAAAGACATTGAAGAAAAATCAGAAATTTTATAAGTTAGATTTGCAAAATTACACTTGCATGCCCATAAGTTATATAGCTTAAAATGTTGAAGGAGAAAATAAATAATCATATTAAGTATAAGTATAAAAAGTAGTTACAAGTATATATGTTGTTTAGCTAAATTTTTCACAACTAATAACAAAAAACTCTGTAAAAATTATTTCCCCATTGTAAGAGTATGTCGAAGCAAATGGCAATATTCCAATTCTTAAAGTGCTCAGTCGGAAAAATGAATTGAAATTATAAGTGACATCGAACAATAATCTGTAATTTGCTAAAATAAGTCCAACTTTATATTATCATTTTAAGAAATTTGTGGATTTATGCTTACATAATTAAACTCTTAGCCTATGTTTTAACATATTGTATAAAGGTGTCAGTGAAGTAGTTAATGAGTGTAGATTATTAACACGTACGGTATAATAAAGAAACAAAGACATAAAATATGGTACTCCCTCCGTTTCATAATGATGTTCTTGTTTGAAATCTTTGACTTTTTTAAGAAAGAGAGAATCTTCTAAATTTCTCTTAATTTATAAGGACAAATATAGTCATGTCGGATCTAGTTTGATTTGTCTTGATGAGTAGATTATTAATATATATCTAACTTTTATAATTTGTGGTCAAAGTTGGGTAAAAATTTGCACCGATTTACGAAACAGGAACATCATTTTGAAATGGAGGGAGTACTCCGTACTACGTAGCTATACCCCAAATTATTAACTAGTTTTTGGATCTAGGCGATGCCCCGAATTGTTATATGGAACTGATAATTAATATACGTTATAATTTATGATTCAATTTTCTTATAATTAAACTTGTTGTTCATATTGTCATTTGCTACATATAAATATTTTGTATTCATTTTTTTTTTATCCAAATGAAGAAAATATTCCAGGAAGAAATACAAAACAAAATAAAAGGCAGAACAAAAGCAAAAGACAACTACTACAAACTAAGCTCAGCTAGAGTAAGGGTCTGTTTTCATACATTTATTTTCAGTTGCAGTTCAGTTCAGCTCCTAATTTCCTTCTCTTATAAAATGTTCATTTCATTTCAGTTTAGTTCAATTCAATTTAGCTGAGTTCAGTCTATGAGAACAGGCCCTAAGACAGTACTAAGCATGGTAAAGTCACTCCCCTAGCTAGCATCCTCCGCCAAAATTCTATTAAGCTCTAAAGGAACTGACTCTAATAATAATATTCCGGTGTCTTGAGTGATTCCCCGGTTGGCTATCCATATAGCTTGGTGCGTGGTAAGACACTTAGTTGTAGAATTAGAGAATGTGTGTGAATCTTGTAGAGAACCTTTTTATATTTATTTTTTTATTATAAGTGTATGACACGTAATGAAAACAAATGGAAGGGAGAACCACCGTGGCATTATGAGTAGTTAAGGGTCTGTTCTGTTCACCTTATTTCCACTTATTTCAGATGTAATAATTTCAGTTAAGTTCAGATAAGTTCAGTTTAGGTTTAATAAGTTTTGATAAGGATTACCCAAGAACAAATTACAACTAAATAAAGTTTTAATAAGGTCTAATAAGTCCAGATAAGTTCAGTACACATCCTTAGTGAGTGACGTGACGTAGAGAGGGGAGTTTACATGACATGTGGACGTTTTTATAAATGGCTTTTAATATTCCGTATACCAAGTATTAGTTAGATAACAGGACAGCTCAGGAGCTGAGGAGCAGATACTCATATTTGCTTTATTACAATAATTTCTCTATTTTTTTTGTTGACATGTACTATTATATTTTTTCACTTTTGTTGTGTAACCAAATTATAGCATAAGTTAGTAATTAAATTATCAATAAGTAAAAATCATATATATAAAAAAGTGATTTATGAAGATATAAATTAGTGACAGTTCTAAAGATCCCATTTATGAAAATGTTTTATCATATAACTGTAAATCATGAAAGGTAATTAGATTAGAGTTTATGCATAGTTTCAGGATTCAACATGTGTAAACTACAGAGTAAAAAAGTAGGAAGAAAGTATGTCTTATGAAAAAAACAAAAACATTTTACTTTTTTTTTTTCAGTTTATTAAAAGGTGTACTTGTTAATTAGTAAACTATATATGGATTATGGAGTAGTTAACGACAACAAATAAAAATGTTATTTAATTAGAGTAATTACCCATGAGCGGCCTTATCCTTTGTCTCAATGCTTGGAGTCATCATAGACATCTTATCTGTAGATCAATATAATTTGTATCAATAATAGATTAATTTGTACCAATTGCATGTTGGTGTAGTGGTGATTGACAGATTGGGACTAAACTTGGTAGGGAGAATCTGTGTTTAATCTCCCGCAACAATAATTGGGAGGGGATTGAAACCTAACCACCCACAATTGATCCCCGAATCCGGATTAGGCCAAATGGTGAATCGGGTAAAATACCAAAAAAAAACAGTAGATCAATTTGTATCAATAATATAATGTAAATTTTAAAGTATTTCATCTAAAAATAATGGATAAATATACAACATATTTGATAGAAATCAATTTTTAAACTTCACAATGAAGTATAAAAGAAACAATTTATTTATTATTACTTTAAAAAAGCCATTTTTTCGTGACACTTAATTATACACTTGAAAATGATTTCTTCCCAATCAAACACAAAACACACTAGAAAAATAAATTAAATGAGCTATAATTAAAGCAACCTTTAGGATGAAATAGATTATCCTTAATAGCTTGTGGCATAGGGACTTTTGGTAGCTTCATCTGCCAGTAGTCCTCTTGTTCACAGCTTGATGCATGAAATGCTAGAAAAACAAGCTGAAAAAAATAATAATACAATAAATAAAAAGGATCTATCATAATAAATTAGAGGAACTTGACTTGTTTCAAAAAAAAAAATAAAAAAAAAAGAGGAACTTGACTAGGTGCAATCCAAAACAAAACGAAGAATATTAGGGATTATTGAAACATAACAGATATTTGATATTTATTTTAGTGAACCGGTCAAATTTGAGATTAATAAAACCAATTTTTATGAAATGACACTCAAGATTTCATATGCAAATTATATTTTATTTTGAACAATTACTACATAAAAATGAATTAATATACATACATACCCCTTCCTCAAAAAAGAAATAATTGTCATAGTGTTTAGGGACCATGTTAATCATCAAATCATATGATTCATTTTTTTTAAGTGTATAATCAAAATTCATTTTAATTACATTCATATTAATACGAGAATATTATCTAATAAGATCACAATATATTACTGTATAATATTATGACGATGATTGAAGCCTAAGAATATGTTTTATACTCTATCATGTCCGAATGCAGCATGAGTCGATGATGGTTGAGGCCTAAGAATATGTTCTATCATGTCCGAATGCAGCATGGGTCGTCCTCTTACCCAACGCTTAATATTCCACTTGAAAGTGGAGGGTGAATGAGATTCGAACCCGGCTCTGATATGAACCATGTTAGCGGACCATCTCAACCAAAAGCTTAAGCTGATGGTTGAGGCCCAAGTATAAGTTCTACTCTATCACTATATACATAGATGACTGATCCATGGCCTGTTTGCAAATTCATCTGGATATATATACTTTCAAAATGTCAAATTCTTAATTAGAATTTATAGATAATAAAAATAACAATGATTAAAATTATGCGTGTGTTATGTATTGGGAAATATAAAATAGACTGAATGAATAAAGTATTATTTAGTATAGATGAATTTATTGCTTACCAAGAAAATTGCATGTAATAGCAACCGGGGCAGCCCGAAATGCATGGCCATCTTTGGCAGAAGACTAAGAATTATGAAGACAAGATTCAAGAGTTAGTGAGTGAGGAGTGAGGAGTGAGGAGTGAAGGCAAGAGTATTTATACTAGTTGTAAGCTTGATTGTAGCTACTCTTTACTTTGTACAACCACCCCACATTATATAATTATGTAATATCTGAAAATATTAATATTTTTTTCACAAAGTCTTATATGTGGTTGGCCATACCGTGCGACAAGGGTTACTTTGTTTATGTATAAGGGTTACGTTACTTGATCAGTGTTAAAGGGGTTACTTCGTCAATGTTATAAGGTTACTCGATTATTAGTGTTATAGGTATTACTTAATCAGTATTACAAGGGTTACTTAGTCAGTATTATAAGAGTTATTTTGTTCATTTATAAGTGGTCACATGGTGTGGCTAGCCACACACAAGACAAACTGTATTTTTTTTAATGTAATCTAAAATATTACTAGTAAAAGTTAAAATCTGTATTGAAATGTTGTAAAATTAAAGTCTAACATTGTGATTAAAATAAAATGTTTTTTAAAAAAATTATAATATGATATGAATATATGATCGAATATATTAATCTTGTGAATGCAATTGCTTTACCATGATCACTATAATTTCCACACACTTCAAAAAATGAAAAAATTTAATAATAATTATATATACTAAAAGGCACACCAGCAATGACACGTGTCATCTCCTAGTGTGTCCTTAGTTTTATTTTATTTTATTTTCGGAAAAAAATTCAATTTCAAAAATAAATCTTTTTACATATATATATTTATAGAGAAAATTGTAAAAAATGACTTTTTAAGTGGTCGACTTGTTGAAAAATGACCTTTTAAGTGAAAATTTGTGAAAAAAGACCTTTTAAGTTATATTTTGTTTTAATGGAGTACTTGAGTGAGCTTGCATGGCGGTCAACACTGGAGCTTCGGGGTTAACTATCACTTATTAGTTTGCATGGCGGTCAACATTGGAGCTTCGGGGTTAACTATCACTTATTAGTCACTTTTTTAAAAAAAAAAAAAAAAAGATTAAAAAATTTCTCCAAATTTCCATCATTTAATTTCTCGACTTAACTCTTTCATACAATATTCTCACGGAGGTCGGGAAAAGGGGGATTTTTTTTTTAATTTGAAAATAAGTCATGTGACTAATATGTGATAGTGAACGCCGGAGCTCCGAGATTGACCACCTCGCAAGGTCACACAAGTACCCTATACAAACAAAATATAACTTAAAAGGTCCTTTTTTCACAAGTTTTCACTTAAAAGACCCTTTTTCAAAAAGTCGATTATTTAAAAGGTCCTTTTCACAATTTTCTCATATTTATAAGGTAATAATTACATACAAAGTATAATTGAAGATTTGATGTATATTTTCAAAATAAATATATTGACAACAATAAACTATTAAACTTAAGCAAAAAATATGGAAAATAATATTCTTAACATCATTTGTTAATTTTAAATATAGTTATTGAAAATTACCGTGCATGACACGAGACTAACCTATTATATATATAAAGGGGAGTTTTTTCCCCAAATTTTTAGAGAGCCATGTAGGATTTAATTTTTTCAGCGTGCCATGTAGGATAATAAATTTTAATGGTAGACAATTAAGTATGAGATTATTAATTTCTTTTAGAATTAAATAATTTAAATGACACTTAAAGCAAAATTGGCAAATGTGATTTCCCAGTTTAAATTAATTAAATATAAAATATTATTTTTTGATATTAGGAACTTTATCTAAATATATAACAAATTTTAGCACATAAATATATATATATATATATATATATATATATATATATATATATATATATATATATATTATTTTTAAAAATTCAAATAAACCATGTATCGCACGGACTTTATCTAGTTTAAAATAAAAGTAGAGTAACAACTCTAATATAAAGACGATATGACTCTAAGCAACCTAGATCATCCATTCCTAGAATCCTAGCACGTGAAATCACTAAGTTGTATCCTAAATAAACGATTTGATATTATCAAACTACCCCCTTTAGTAAAAAATTTGTAATTAAGAACCTTGGATTAATAGTCATCGTACAAGATATATGTTATTTAAATTTTTTTCCAAATGAATCACAAAGCGATCAAGACCTCGTTGTTATCGAACAAGGCTGCAACTCTGCAAGGCATATGCCCGTGGCCCCGTATGTCGTGATATGCATGCGTATATTTTTAGTGATAGAGTATAAAAGAGGTCTTCCAAAAGGAGGTTACTCAGGTTAGTTATGTATGAGTAAATGCATAACGAGGAGCATGGGGTCATTTCACGTAAATGTATTTCTGAATTTAGAGTAGTGTCACTGGATGATCAATTGTATCACTAGATGATTAAATGATATCATTAAACATTTTAATGGTACTATTTATGTATGTAGTGGTATTATATATTCATTCAGTGGTACTCACTACGTGTAGAAATAGTATCACTACGTGTAGAAATAGTATCACTACGGTAAAAATAGTATCACTACATAGTCAATAATACTATCTAAGCTTTTAACGGTACATTTAAAAAATGGTCCCACTTACCCATCTCTCTCCTCCTTTCTCTTATCCCCATGTGTTTTTTAATATTTTAATGTTTGTTATGCATTTGCAAATGCATAACTAACCTCCCTTACTACTTCTTCGAGTATTAAACATATTTTTAGGTCTCAACTATTAGCTTAAGTTTTTGGTTGAGATAGTCCACTAATATGGTATCAGAGCCAACGTGATATAGATATCATATATTCAAAACTAATTTACTCCTTGTTCAAAGTGGAATTAATTCGCGTCAAGTATGGGTGAGCCTATGTTACCTTTGGTGGTTGTGGACTACGAGATGATAAGGTTTCATTAATTGTATTGTTGAGGTGTTAGCTAGATGGGGTGGTCAAGTGGTGTTAGCAATCTCTAGCTCCCATGCATGCATATTCTAGAATCTAGAATACAAGATAATTTAGATCAACCATTGAATGTATAAACACATACTCCTTCCGTCTCAAAAAGAACGACTCATTTGGCCAAAATTTTATCCCAAAAATAATGACCCATTTGCATTAAAATACCACCAATTTGCAACAATATTTGTGCAAAATTAGCTTCCCCTTATAAAAATTTGATTTTTCATGTTATTTTATTACTTTCTCACTCTATTTTTTTTACAAACCCCGTATAAATTTATATTTCCAATATACTTTTACTTCTTTTTACTTAACTTCCTCAATATCCGCGTAATCAACCTAAATGGGTCGTTCTTTTTGGAACGGAGGGAGTAATTTATTAGGCATGCAATAATCAAACTTAACAACAGGTGACATTAAATTTTGTTTGACTATCGTTGTGCCATCACAATAATTGTTCTACTGTACATCATTGGTGCAATAGTCTTTCAATCACAATAATGAGAGACACAAGAAGGAAAATATTTTTCCCTAAGCTAGAAAACAAGGTGTAAATAGTTTCAAAAGAAACGTTTTTAGTCTAGAAGATAATTAAGGTCTTATTGTAACAAGTAACAGTACTGTAACACAATTATTCATACAACTTTATTACTCAGATCACTGTATAACAGTGGCTTTAATTAAAAGGAATTAAAGCACTAATTATTGAGTGACATTTTACTTACATGCCTATTGCAATAGGAAAAATAGAAAAGAAAAATTCAACCTTTGCACTTTTTCCTCTTAAAAATTCAACATTCATTTTATTCCTCAAAAATCCAACTTTTATACCCCTCATTCTCTAACAGATCCATTTAACTTGTGACCTGATAAACAGGTTAAAAGTTTTTTTTAAAAAAAAAAAATTATTCTCCTTTTCCCTTCTTTCTCTCTCCTCTCTCCTCAAACACTGAAACCACCAACCTCACCTCCGCCACCACCACTTCTTCCACCACCATTTACCCCACCCAACGATCCCAAACCCAGAACCGAAACCACCAACCCTTTCTAGGCTTGAAATTCACAATTATGGGTGGGAATTCCGGGGTTTCGAAGCGGCAGTGTGATTGATTGTGCTTCTCTTAAGGGGGGCTCTTCCAGCCATATTCATGCTTAGCTTTCTGCAAAAATTTGTGGTGCATTTAATTTAGTTTTTTTTTTCTTCTTCTTGAAAAATTAAGTTAGAATTCTTTAGTCAGTTTTTTGGGGTAAGATTAATGGGCGTGGAGCTGCTGGAGTAGGTGGGTTTGGGGTGGGGTTCTTCTAGTGAATTAAATTAGGTTAGGTGGTGGTGTATGTGGTGGTGTTGATGAGGTGGTGGACCTTTAAATGAATGGGGGTATAAATGTTGGATTTTTGAGGAATAAAATGAAGGTTAGACTTTTAGGAGGAAAAAGTGCAAAGGTTGGATTTTTCTTTTCCATTTTTCCATTGCAATATTGCCAAAGCAACATCATGTATTGTGGATGTCTAACTATATTTATTAGTTGCTATAGTTTAGTAATAACATAATCAAATGTCGTCTACGTTATATGCTAATACACGCTATAATACATTGTTATAAACTTATAATCATATAATCTTATAATAATAGTTTGGTGTTGTGAGGTTGGTGACATTCTTGAGTGAATACATTGGACACTTGGTTTAAACTTCTAAACAGAATATTGAATACTCAAACAATGAAAATTAATTGCTACCATTGTTATAATAACCCGTATTTCTATAATTAATCGAAATCTTAACCTAGTGGGTAAGACTGAAAGAATGTTATGAAGTAAAGCTGAAAGTAATTAATTTTTAGTGATTTTAAATCTTTACTACTCCATACTAAATTTTTAAAAGTCAACAAGCAGACAAGAAACCAATTCTATTTCTATATAACTAAATTTTTAATCCAACCATAAGAATCAAGAGCACTAAGGAATTGACAAGTTTGTTGGGGAAATTAAGTGTCAATAATTGCTATTTTTATCAAGAAATGAAAAAAAAAAAAATCATTTCTTGATAAAAAATAGCAATTATTGACACTTAATTTCCCCAACAAACGTGTCAATTCCATAGTGCTTGTCAATATTAATGCTTGTCGATATTAATAATTGCACTTCTTTAAGAGAAAATA